GGGGATGTCGAGAGCCAGGGGTCTTTGTAAAGTGTTCTTTTACTCTAGCACAGCCTTTCTCAACCAGGGTGCCCAGGCACCCTGGGGTGCCTTGAGGTTTCTTCAGGGGTGCCCTTTCAAAATGTCTAAAAATGTCCCAAAATTTGTATACAAGCCATCGGGTGGAACAAGCCTGCCTTTTAGTTACACAAAGCCACCGGTTTTCATTGTGCACCATTACAACCTTCTAGCCACCAGCATCCTGACAACCAATGACATCGCCAGTTGATTAGGAGGATGTCAGCTGCCTGCACAGCATCCTAGTTTGACCCTCTCCTGCCCCTCTCCATCAACACTGGGGTCACATTATCTTAATGATGGAGAAAAACTGAGGGAGAGGAGAAACACTGGAATACTAGTCAGTACCAGGGTGCAAAAATGAATTTGCTTTGGAAGAATAAATCAACTCTAATTTTGGGTGTCCTACATGTGTGGATGTTGCTGTGTTATATAAAACTATTAGAATAGTTTCACATTTTAGAATGGGGTGCCCTTTTAAAATTATGGACAACCTTGATGCACCCAATTTTAGAATGGGGTACCTCAAGGCTGTTCTTAATTTTAAAGGGTTTCTCGGGACTGTCCATAATATTAAAGGGTGCCTTGACTGAAAAAAGGTTGAGAAAACACTGCTCTAGCATATAGAGTACGGGCTTGAAGAATTCCGATTTATGATCGCTCTTCCACTCTCAACCTCTGTGCTGAAAGCCTTTTCTACATAATTGTTTGTATCTTCATTCTATTTAAAACAATAAAAAATATTGAAATGAAAGCCAATGGATCAGCAAGACAGCCAGGCAACTAGCATGTACTGAAGAAATATTTAGCAAAAATGTCATGATTCCTTTGTGACAGGTTTCCTTTACTATGTATGACCGTGTAGAGGTCATAGAAGATCTCTGGTGGGGGGAACCATGTAGGTTAAAGCGGTAGTAAGCTGCATCCATTAAAAAAAAATAATACTAGCATACATACTAGCACATTATGTAGAACTTACGTCTGGAAGAAAAGAAATTTAATCTCCAAACACGGAAAGGTTTCTTCACAGTGAAAGCTGTGAAAATGTGGAATAGACTCCCTCAAGAGTTGGTTCTGGCCAGCTCAGTGGATTGCTTTAAGAAAAAGTCCTGGATTCTTTCTTGGATACACAGAATATAACTGGATATAACATTTATAGGTAAAGTTGATCCAGGGAATATCCGATTGCCTCTCGGGGGATCAGGAAGGATTTTTTTTCCCTGCAGGAGCAAATTGGATCGTGCTTTGCTGGGTTTTTTTTGCCTTCCTCTGGATCATCTGTGGGTGTAGGATTATAACTTTCTTTTTTTTTTGGTTGAACTGGATAGACTTTTGTCTTTTTTTCAGCCAGACTAACTATGTAACTATGTACCTTAAAACAAAGTCCTCCAGCAACGCATTGTCACAGCTGAAGAGGCTTCCATCTTTACCTGGTCTTTCTTCTGGGTTTGTGAGCTCCGCACAGAAGTCTCGGGACATGGCAGAGTGCTCTGAAGGAACTGCATGGGTATGGCGTTCCTTCAGAGCAGATGCGCCGGCTGCAAAAAAACTTGATTATCTCCTAAACGGTGCATGTTTAGGAGATATTAATTTTACCTACAGATATTATTATTATTATTATACAGTATTTATATAGCGCCAAAAGGTTTGCTCAGCGCTGTACATTATAGTGGGGGACAGAACATGAGACAATACAGTAACAAAACAATACATGAGGGGTTCGAGGGCCCTGCTCTTTCGAGCTTACAATCTAGGAGGGAGGGGATAGTGGTACAGGAGGAAATGGTTGTGGGGGATGGAGTGGTAGGAAGAGTGGAGGAGATCGGCTGTTAGGTGAGAGTGGGGTAGGCTTCCCTGAAGAGATGGGTTTTCAGGGTGCGCCTGAAGGTGACCTGTAGGTAAAAGTATACAAAGTGGGTTTGCTGCCACTGTAAAGCAGAGCTCCACCCAAAAGGGGAAAAGGGGAAGGGGAAGTTCCACTTTAAGCCTTTTTTGTCCCCTGCTCCCCATTAAGGATTGGCACCTTTAGAAAGCGGGGGGGGGAAGCGGGTACCTGAATTTGACAGGTGCCCACTCCCACTTCCGTTGCTATTGCCTAGGCTAGTGGTCGGCAAGCCGCGGCTCGCGAGCCACATGCGGCTCTTTACACGCTTTAATGCGTCTCTCGTGTGCCGGGCGCCCGCTCCCATCCCTCCTCTCGGGCGGCAGGGACTCTGCAGCGTGATCCAAAAAAAAACAGCCAGGGCAGCGCGCTCAAATGCAATGATTGGCCAGTCTCGCTGCCACTCACATCCTGATAGCCAGTGATTGGCTGTCAGGATGTGTGTAGGCGGGGCAGCGTGACGAACGTGAGAGGAGCTAGGCTCCTCTCACAGTCCGCCCTGAAGACCGGAACGGCGCGGGAACACGGCGAGAGGAACGCGCGGAGCAAAGGTAAGTGAATTGACACAGGGGGGGACTTGGCTTACTACTTGCTACTTACTTACTACTACTATATGGGGGATGAATTAATATGGGGGATGAATTACTATAGGGGGGATGAATTACTATATGGGGGATGAATTACTCTGGGGGATGAATTACTATATGGGGGATGAATTACTATAGGGGGGATGAATTACTATAGGGGGGATGAATTACTATGGGGGATGAATTACTATAGGGGGGATGAATTACTATGGGGGGATGAATTACTATATGGGGGATGAATTACTATATGGGGGATGAATTACTATGGGGGATGAATTACTATATGGGGGATTAATTACTATATGGGGGATGAATTACTATGGGGGATGAATTACTATAGGGGGGATGAATTACTATGGGGGATGAATTACTATGGGGGATGAATTACTATATGGGGGATGAATTACTATGGGGGATGAATTACTATATGGGGGATGAATTACTATGGGGGATGAATTACTATGGGGGATGAATTACTATATGGGGGATGAATTACTATGGGGGATGAATTACTATATGGGGGATGAATTACTATATGGGGGATGAATTACTATGGGGGATGAATTACTATGGGGGATGAATTACTATATGGGGGATGAATTACTATAAAAACTTATTGAAACTAAAAACAGTGTACCATCCTATGTATTTTCAGTTTTAAAAATGTGGCTCTCAAAATAAATTTCAATCGTGGTTTTGGCGAGATTTGGCTCAGTTGAAAAAAAAGGTTGCCCACCACTGGCCTAGGCGATCGGAAGCAGAAGTTGTCCTCCCCCCTCCCTCCCCGTAGTCTCCTGGGACATGAGACAGGTCCCAAAAGACTACGGGGCCATTGACAAAGCGCAATGCTTCTCGCACATGCGCAGTGGGCACCCAGCTATGAAGCCGCAAGCTGTCACAGCCAGGTACCCACACTGAAGATGCCGGCGCCAGGGAGAGAAGACGGCCAGTGAAACCAGCCGTGGTGAGGACACTGCTGGACCGAGGGACAGGTAAGTGACTGGATTTTAAAAGTCAGCAGCAACAGTTTTTGTAGCTGCTGACTTTTATTTTTTTTTCAGGTGGAACTCCGCTTTAAGTGGAGCCCTTGGGAATAAAGACTGGCTTTTTTTTTTCTTTTGACCCAAATGGTATTTAATTAAAAAGCGCAAACAAATATATTCACAAAAACTCATATATTCATTTCCCAAAATCAGAGAAGTACAATATTTGTAAATCATTACCTTCAAAGCCCGCCACTTTGAAGAGGACAGAGACCCAACCAAAGCTATTTTTTAGCAATGCAACCTAATAAAGTAGCAGAGAGGATGCAGAAAAAGGCCTCGGGACTATGGAGAACAATCATCTCGCTCATGTAATGGGTAAGAGGAGACAGTAAACTGGCACTAATAGGAGCACAACCTTTTCAAAAAACAGAGACCGGGTCTATGCCTACCCTCTCTGCAGGTCACTTTGTGATAATGGGCTACTTCTCTGTATTATTTCCCGAAATACAAAGCCAGCATTAAGGAGGTGACCCAAAACTCTTTAGTACAATATATCTAATGTATCAGTTACTAGTCCAGCCTAATCATGTTGGCTGCCACTGTCGCTCTGTGCTTTGTTCACAAAGTGTGACGAGTTTCAAGTTGAAAGGTACAGTACAGGAATGGAAAAATCAGCTAAAACCAATCTTTGCAATAACGTCCAAATATCTCCAGGTTTGTACTGTACATCAATCACAGAAGACAACCGCCTTCAAGGACTTTTTCATGTAAGAACCAAAAAAGGAATTTGGCAGCAGCTTTAAAGATCTCCGCGCTACCCCATCGCTGGTTCTTAAAAACTTTAAGACTTTACACAGGCATAGACACAAAAAAGAGGAGGTAGACTGGTGGTGGTCAACTTTCTTGTTATAGTGGGCCTTAAGTGTGGCCCCTGACATCACCAAAGGGCCACACATAATATTCAGTGAATATTGAGTGCCAGCAGGGCTGGATATAAATGTAACACTGGAGAACTCCGATGTAAGAGGGTCTCTGGTCACCAGAGCCCCCCCCCCCTTACACAAGATTCCCCAGAGTTCCCTTACAGCAGAGTCCCCAGAGTTCCCTTACATCAGAATGGGTTCCCTTTTACAGTGCAAGGGGGACCTCTGAGGACCCTGATATAAAGGGGAACTCTGATATAAGGGGGACACTGTGGACTGTGATGTAAAGGTGAAGCTTGATCTGATGTAAGTTGGTCTCTGGTCACCAAAGTGCCCCCCTTACATCACAGTCAGCAGCACTCTCCTTTACATCAGGGTCCACAGTGTTCCTTCTTACACCAGTGTTCCCCTTTACATCAGGGTCTGCAGAGGTCCCCTTGCACTCTGGGGGGTGGTGGCTCTGGTGACCACAGCCCCCCTCACAACTCTGCGGAGGGGGTGATCTGTCACCTGCAATCACCCACCCCCCATGTCTGTATCATTATGGGAGAGGTGGGAGCAGGGGCGGACTGACAACTCATGGGGCCCCCGGGCAATAGGGGATCATGGGGCCCCTGTGTCCTTGCCCAAACTCAAAAAAGCCTATGAAAAAGGTACCAGGGGCATCTCATGGGGCCCCCTACTGACCCCGGGCCCTCGGGCAGTGCCCGAGTTTCCATATGGTCAGTCCGCCCCTGGGTGGGAGGAGATGTCACCCTACAGAGTGCAATGTGTATGTATTGCATAGGGATGTCCAAGGTGGTGGATGGGGGATGGAGAGCATCCACTGTCCTGCAGTAGGATGTCAATAGCAATCCCCCCCCCCCAATGTCTGTATTATTATTCACTGCAGGCTGGGAGACCTCACCCCATAAGGATGAACAGGGATGTCCATGGCAAAGAATGGGGGGGTGGGGATGGGGGGTGTCAATGGGTTTCACTGGAAGCATCTCTGATTGAGGAGACAAGGTGACACCTGAGGAATCCATGTATCAAGTGTCACCCCCCCCCCCCTTCCACAATGAGGAATGTCAGGACTGGGGGCATCAGAAAATGTTGCAATTCCTGAGGAAGACAGAGTCCCCATCCAGGGTGGGGTTGAGCTAGATAGGGACTGATCACTTCTCTGGGGTTTTTGTGTCCTGTGGCCAGCTGGCTGCTCCCTCACTGCATAGAGCGAGTGCTGATCCTGAGTCCTCCTCCAGTCCCTGGACCGTCGCTGTCTTCACATTCCAGGGCAGGCGGTGGGGACTCCCTCGTTACATGTAAGTATCTCTGCTACCAGCAGATGCAGCCAATGGGAAGGGCCACCCAGACAGACAGAGGGATTTCATAAATACGTCATACGGGCCCAAGTAGAGAGAGCTACACGTGCCCCCTGACTGCAGAATGAGGGAGTTGTCAGCAGGGCTGGATTTCCCAATAAGCACTGAGCCCCATCAGCTGAGCTCTGGGAAAGAGAGGAGCAGCAACCCTTCAACCCAGATTGGTGCCCCTACAGAAAGGGCGCCTGTAGGCATATGCCTACAGTGCCTATTGGGAAGCCCTGAATGTCAGAAACAGAAGACACACAAGATATGGCCATAAGATAAGGCCATGGGAATGACACAGGAGATTGTCAAAAACTGTGGGTGTGCTACAGGACATGGTCAGAGATTCGGGTGTGTTACAGGAGTTGATCAGAGACTTCAAAGATGCCACAGGACATGATCAGTGACTCTGGGCATGCTACAAGAGATGGTCAAATATTGCAAACATTCTAATAGGAGTTGCTGGAGACCAGGGACATGCTGCACGAGTCAAAGACTGGAGATACAGTAGTGGCTGCAGGAGCCCAGAAAGAGTGCCAATGGGGTGCATACAACCTCTTGGCCACAGGTCGGGTACCAGGGAGTTAGCACTCTTACAGGTTTTTATTGCTGTTTGGGTCCCCATAGAAGAGATATCCCATTGCATTCTGTTCTGTCTGACTAATATCATATAGACAGGATTTGAGGAATCTACTACACAGACCTAAAATAAAAGACAGATTTCAAAGTCTTCTATTCTAAAATAAAAAAGTGTTAACTCAATCCCTGTCCCGTAGCGTACTAGTAAGGGGGACAGAGAATGATGCTAAATCTTCGAAAAGGGACACAGAGAGCGAAAAAAAAAAGGACATAGGGCTTTTGGCCTTTTAAAAAAAAAAATGTGATGGATTCTCCTATAAACTGCCATTGGACATAAGATGACACCAATAAGCCTAGGATGGGATAGTGATTCAGACTGATCACCCTTCCACATTTGAACAATTTAAAACACCTGTAAATAGCTGCACCAATGGCTGGCCTTTGACCTTAATCTTATCATCACTCGATCTGTATTCTTGAGAACCTCTCTTCACACACATCCAGGGAGATTAGCTACAGTGCTTCTTGACAATGTTGCACACAGTGGACACAGGAACATTAAGATCTGTTAGTTGACAGGTGAGTTTAATTACAAATCATAGGAGCATCACAAACTTGGAATACAATTATTTCTTATAATTTTGAGGAGGTGCCAATAATTTTGTCCAGTCCATTTTTGGGGCTTTGTGTGAAATGTGTCAGATTTGGCTTTTTGTTTATCCACTTTTTTGTGTCATATCAATACAAACAACAAAATAAACATGAGAATGACGAAACATTTGTAATTGCAACAATTTTCTGGGCGAAGTGGGGCATTATCTGGCAGAAATGCAGGGGTGCCAATATTTTTGGCCATGGTTGTATATGACCTCTGTATTACGTACTATGGCCCCTTGATCTCTTTGTTACTAAATACTGACCTCTGAACTCTGTTATTTACTATTTATCCATGAAATCTGCATGGTTATTACTAACCTATGAAATCTGCATTACTCCTGGCCTCCGCGCTGTGTGTCACATACTACTGACCAGGGGCGGACTGACCTTTCGAGCATTCAGGCACTGCCCGACGGCCCGGGGTCAGCAGGGGGCCCCATGAAATGCCCCTCGTACCTTTTTTATAGGCTTTTTTGAGTGTGGGCAAGGACACAGGGGCCCCATGATCTCCTATTGCCCGGGGGCCCCATGAGTTGTCACTCCGCCCCTGCTACTGACCTCTCAACTCTGCGTTGCTATTGTCCTCTAAACTCTGAGTCACTTAGTACTGACCCCTTATCTCTACTTTACCTATTACTGACCTCTGAATTCCATGTCAATTACTCCTAACCCCTAGGTACTTTTTTTATACACTACTGACCTCCGAAGTTAGAAACACTCTTTCTATTGGCCATTCCTCCAAACAATTATTATCTGTTAATAGTAATGATAGTCATAGGACCTTACATTACCTCTATATACTTTTTCTATTTCAGGAAGGCCTGGCTGAGCAAAGTTGGCAGTCCCAGTTCCCGGATTGATCGAACTGTATTTTCTGATGAGAAGGATGTCTCTCAACTTCAGTACAAGGGATTCAGCACTAGACACTAAAGAAACGGAATCTTAAACTGGTGGATAACAATTAGCAAAATTGTCACCTTTCTATATAAAACATGTTATCACATTGATCATCTCTGAATAACGAACTGAAAATTCGCACAACAGTTGGTGTTTTTCTAGTTATGACCCATATTTGCATAGCAAGTATTACCCTAGATTCCAATGTCTGGCTTGGTGTGATTAATCTAATTGTTCTAATAAAAGCTTAATACTGAATTGCTATGGTTAGACTGGAGTTATGTACCAAAGTAGGACAAAAGTTCACTGTGTGCCTGAGATAAAGTGCCAAAGATGGACTGAAAAATGTGTGAATTGTAAATACTGGGTATAAAGTCTCTTTAGGAAAACATGTGATGTGCATGGTGTTATATTAAACAGATGGTGTCAGATAGAAGATGCAGTTTTTGCTGAACAGATTGAGTAAAGTGAACCATGCAAGGTGGAGCAACAGTTTCATCTAAATGTCACCCCTCCTCGCTTTTACACACCTTTCCTTTGGCCCCCTTGGCTCTTTTCATCCACTGGATCAAAGAGGAGTACAGTGTAAGATCCATCATATTAGACGAGGGTTACTCTAAATTAATAATCTGTAAAGCAGTGGTTCTCAACCTGTGGGTCGCGACCCCTTTGAGGGTCGAAACGACCCTTTCACAGGGGTCGCCTAAGACCATCGGAAAACACATATTTCCGATGTGTAAAGAGCAGCTACTGTGTAGAAAGCAGCTGCTGTGTTGAAAGCAGCTACTCCGTTAAAAGCAGCTACTGTGTTGAAAGCAGCAGTATTGGAGGTAAAACGACACTTCATGAATTATAATTAATGGGTAAATAATTTTATGGTTGGGGGTCACCACAACATGAGGAACTGTATTAAAGGGTCACGGCATTAGGAAGGTTGAGAACCACTGCTGTAAAGGTTTTTAAAGTGTCACCTATGGACATCTGTGGGTATCATAGCCTGTTGCCTTTTCTCGCACATATTTAATTTTGACATATGGTATTTGGTATCAATTTACTGTGTAAACTTGTATATTTACATTCAGATATTAGATTGTGTTTGTGCGCATAGTCAGAATTTACTCTCTGCTCTCCCCCATGTTTGGTGATTGAACAATCAAGACACCCATCACTGCTGTAAGGGAATTTATGTACAGCAATTGCTGCATTGAAATGAGCACGGGCGCATTGCTAATAAAAATGAGCATAGGCTTGCGCATGCACAAAAGAATGCGCGCACATGGGTGCACGCACGTGGGAGCATGCCCACAGTTTCTGGCGCCAGCCGGACTATTTAAAGGAGGCTCTTACTCTCTGTCAGTGCTGACTGGTGTTAAGCTATATCCTTGTGTCCTGCCGTGTCCTGTGTGTTATCCATTACTGACCCAGCTTGCCATTGACATACTCTTGGATTCTGTTTATGCTTCTGCTCATCGGTTTCTGATCCTTGCTTCCTCGTGACCTCGTCCCTGTCTGATATTCCGGTACCTCATCACCTGCTCGTTGCTGACCCTGGCTATCACTCTGACTATGCTTTTGGCTCCAGTTTGGCTCTACAGTCCTGCTGAGTGCTTGTCCTGGCTATCTATCATATCGGCTCTGGTTGTCACGGTGTGTTCCGGCCTCACGCTTATCAGAAATTCCAGCAAGCCACGTACCCAGATCTTGCAGTTCCAATGGAGTGCTTTCTTAACCTCAGCTTTCTTAATCTCCTCTGTTCCTGACTGGATGCCTTGCAATCAGTATCCGCAGGCACTCGTGTTCCTCCTGTCCATGGACACCATCTGTTCCACCTTCAGTGGGGCATGGGTTGGAGATACAAGAGAGGCTGACCTCATCAATTCAGACTTCTATCAGGTACGTGACAACTGCATTGTGGGGTAAACTGAGAAATACATTTTCCAGGAAGCATCAGGTAATAATTTTTGCACCAGCAAGCCAGTGGAGTAGCAGAAGAGTGAAGGAAGGTATGAGCAATAATGAACCTCAAGCTCAACTCCTTGCCAAGTTTACAAGGACCCCGGAACCTGATCTGCTCTGATATGCCAGCACCAAGCTGAAACAGAAAATTTGATAGCTTAAAATTGCATATCTCCTACATATCCTGCCTCAGAGGTTCACTTTGGGCTTAGAACAGAAATGAATACAAAGAGAACACCCTCAGGCTCCATCACATACCTTTCAACCTCCTACCAAAGTTACTAGGACCCCTGAAACCGGGACTGCTCTGATATGCCAATACCAAGCTGGAGCAGAAAAACATTATAGCTTGTATGCTTTCTGCATCTTCTGCTTTGCTATTAATCCCTATATGTGATGGATAGATCTAATAACCATTAGAGAATCAAAAAAATATGTTAGGGCAGGCCATGTATCGACTTTTCTTCTCCAAGCCAGTATTTGAATATAGTGCCCCTGACTGTGGTTGCCCTGGGGTGCTTGAGAAGAGTTTTGAAGGTCTGTCCAGGCACTAGCATGTCTACTTTTAATTCTTTTTGCTAATTTACAGTATTTATCCAATGTAAAGAGTTTCTTTAAATTATCCAATATAAAGTTTTACTTTAAATGATCCAATGTAAAGTATCCACTGAAAATGCATAGTTTAGATCAGCTGATCCATGTACTGGCTTTTGACACCTTTCATCACCAAAAAATATCAGAACAAAAGTTTTGCTCAACCCTCAAAAGACCAATGGTGGCATTCGACTGCCATAATAAATCCTTCACAATGCCTAATGAAAAAAAAAGTCTAAGGACTTTGTTTGCCTTTTGGGAGGGGCATACATATAATACTACTGCGAGTATATCTGGACATTGGAGCAAATGAAAGAACTAACTAGAATGTTAGGGATTCAATTTATGAACACTCACCCAAATGTGATATACCCAAAACAAAATTATTCGTTTGTGGTGGATATTTAATGGGCCTAAGTTGACAGACGTTAAAAGTGCAGGTGTATCTGAGACTAGCTGTGGTTCTATGTCAGTGATCTCCAAACTGTGGTCTAGGTGCCAGGTGCGACCCTTTGCTTGTCTTTATCCAGCCCTGGGGCATTATTCCATGCAATGACTTCCACAATAGGGCTTAATTCCTTGCCACTGACACAACATTGGGCCACAATTCCTCTCATTGATGCCAATGGAGGGGCACAATTCTTCCCACTATGCCAACAATGAGGAACAATTCTTCCCAGTGACACCAACAATGGGGCACAATTCCTCCATTGACATCAATGATGGGGGGCACTATTACTCTCCTAATACTCTCACTTGCCACAGTTTGCCCCCCTCCCCCACCTCTTTGTTTAGAAAGTTTGGAGATATCTGCCCTGTGTGAACACCTATAGCAGCTCAGCTTCTAGACCTGTTTGTACATCAGCTAAAAAAATAATGGTTTTAAAATAAACAAATCAAATTGAAATAAATACATTTTACTTGGAATTTGTTTTACTTGGATTTAGAACAACAGAAAAAACTTCAATAAAACAAAGCAAAGAAGTTCTAAATAAACTTGTACCCATCGCAGTCTCCTTACATCAGAGTCACCATCAAAGTCCATCTTACATCAGACCTGGGGCGGACTGACCATTTGGAAACTTGGGCACTGCCCGAGGGCCCGGGGTCAGTAGGGGCCCCATGAGATGCCCCTGGTATCTTTTTCATAGGCTTTTTTGAGTTTGGGCAAGGACACAGGGGCCCCATGATCCCCTATTGAGGGCCGGGTCAGTAGGGGGCTCCATGAGATGCCCCTGGTACCTTTTTCATAGGCTTTTTTGAGTTTGGGCAAGGATACAGGGGCCCCATGATCCCCTATTGCCCAGGGGCCCCATGAGTTGTCAGTCCGCCCCTGCATCAGACTCACCTTTTATATCAAAGTTCATACCAAATTCCCCTCTTATATCAGAGGGCCATATAAAATCTTGCAGCAGGCTGGATTTGGCCTGTGGGCCACAATTTGGAGATCTCTGATCTTAGCTCACAGAACATGGTCCCCAACACTTGTAACAGTAACAGTACCAGAAATGTTGAAAAACATACTGTATACAATGGGCCTGATCACAACCCATAGCCATCTTCTTAAAATGTTTTGCATAGACATTGTACATTCTTACAAAAGATATAGACATATAGATAGGCTTAGGTGTACAACAGTCAACTATAGCAAGCATGCCCTATACTTATTAAGGTGTCTACGCAATTCTACGCAAGGTTGTCTACGCAAAAAAATTTTTCATCTGTTGCAAGCCTTACCCATAATTAAAGCACCTCAACCTGCTCTGCTACCAGCATTCTTAACAAACCCGGCACTAAACCTCGCTCTATGGGTTTGTGGTACTGTCGTAAAATAGCAGCTACTTTTGCCACCACAGCTACACTAGAATCTACACTAGATTTAGAAACCTCCAGCCACATCAATGTCCCTCTGTCAATGGAAGTTCATTGAAAAATGAGTGCTTTGAAGAGCAAATCTACTCCCAGAGTCATGTGACAGCAAGTTGCCCACCTAAGCCTCCCCAGTTATCATTCAGTACAAAGCTGCATGTTTTGAAACGGGCGGACTGACAACTTAAGGGGCCCCCGGGCAATAGGGGATCATGGGGCCCCTGTGTCCTTGCCCAAACTCAAAAAAGCCTATGAAAAAGGTACCAGAGGCATCTCATGGGGCCCCCTGCTGACCCCAGGCCCTTGGGCAGTGCCCGAGTTTCCAAATGGTCAGTCCGCCCCTGTTTTGAAATAGAAAACAGTAGCACCACATCATATGAGCTTGTTTTAGAGAACTAATTTATGTGACATTTGCAATTTATTTTTATGAAGGTTGTTATGCATGCACACATGAATTATGTCTTGTCCTTATTCTGGTGGCCTGACTTCCTCTCTAGCCAAAATGGCCAACATAAACACACTCTGCCAACATTTTTCTTACTTTTTGGATAGCATAGGGAAGCCATCCTGCACCTTCACCTTTAATGCCTTGAAAAAGGTGCATGACTAATGTTGATATTGCATGGCCATGGGTGTATTGTAAGAATCCAAAACAGCAAGAATGGCCAGCTTGCCAAAACTTAAAAAGACTTCTTATCTTTACTAAGGTCATAGTTGTAATGACAGAATGTTGTTAGGCATATATTCATGAATTACGGTATGTCTTTATTCTGGTGCCCTGACTTACTCTCCAGCCATACAAAATGGCCAACACAAGCACACTCAAACAACATTTTTTTTTAGTTTTGGATAGCATAGGGAAGTTACCCCGCACTTTCATCTTTAACGCCTTGAAAAGGGTGCATGGCCAATGTTGATACCGCATGGCCATGGTGATATCGGAAGAATCCAAAATAGCAAAAATGGCCAACACCAAAACTTAAAAAGACTTCTAATCTTTATGTAGCACCCTCCTTGGTAGGTTGCTGGTAGGATTAAGGTAAATTTAGTTTTTGACTCCTCTGTGAACAGTGGAGCAGAGCTTGATTGCTGTTGGCTGTTCTGGGTTCTGCTGGTTGTAGACTCAACTACTTCACCCTGCCTTCTAGTTCTAGAATGTAGTGGATTGGAAGAGGCAGACCCAGGACATGCAAATTCATACTGCCTCAGCCAATCCCTGGGGGAAAAAATGACCAGTAGTGGGCTGAGGTTTGTATAAATAGGCTGGGACCTGAAACAGTATGTCCTTGTTCTGGAGGAGAAGACCCAGCCTGGAAGGCTGCTACCCTTCTGGGCTGCTTAGCTAAAGTCTTCCAGGAGGTCAGTGAGGCCCCATTTAGAGAGAGCTGGGGGGCCTGTTATCTCAAAGAGGGTTCATCAAGGTCCCAGCTCAGGGAGAACGGGGGGCTATCTCTAAGGCAGCTGAGATTTGTTTGGAGGAAGTCCACTAAGGATCTGGCCTGGAGGCTCACAGTACAGCACCAGGCTGGTACTAGAAGGAGACATCCATGTAAACAGTGAGTAGAGGCCTGAGACAGAAAGATTTTATTGACTGTTTCTGTTTAACCCTTTGAGAGACTGTTCCAGAGTTTCTGGCTTAGGACTGCTCCTACAATTGGAGTCCCCTTAGCTGTATGTTCATATAGTACTAGTCATAAGGGGGCCCTACCCTGAAGGGTCTAGTTATAACCAGAGAGTGTTATAGTTACACTTTGCACTAGATTTGGCATATCCCACGGCTCACCTTACTCCTTGTCCAGGTTCAACCAACTATAAACTTCAAAAGACATCTACTGCATGGTTATTGAGTTGTAAGACTGTGGAGCTGCTGTGTGCCTGGCTGATGTGCATCCAATAGGGAATAGAACCTGGGAAAAAAAGGGCCTGTGCTACATTTACTAAGGTTGTAGTTGTAGTGACAGAAGAAAGCATAAAAAAACAAAGTTTTGCACTGTGGTCCCTTTTTTCGAAGTGATAGATGTTTATATTGCTGTTATTGTGGCTACAAGGTAGATTCATCCCTCACTTGTCCTGGTGGCCATTGTGGCCAAGACAGAAAATTATGGAAAATCCAAAACAGAAATAAAAAAGGAGAACTAAAAAAGATTACATCTGATGGGGGCACTTGTTAACCAGATATCAGCTGTCTAATGGGAAAATTCCCTTCCAATAGATTTCCTCTTACATACTGTTATGTTTCTGGGAGAGGAATATAAATTTCCTCAACAGACAGCAAAAACAGGGTTTTTACCCTTTTCTACTCTATCCAAACTAAAAAGAAAAGTTTCGGCTATGCAATACACTTCATATAGACATTGTAAAAACTTCACAATCCAGAATAACAAGAAATCAAGTTATCTCCAACACAGTGGCTTGGCTTTTACTATTACAGCAAGGGGCGGACTGACCATTTGGGAACTCGGGCACTGCCCGAGGGCCCTGGGTCAGTAGGGGGCCCCATGAGATGCCCCTGGCACCTTTTCATAGGCTTTTTTGGGTGTGGTTTGATTGTGGACGAGGACACAGGGGCCCCATGATCCCCTATTGCCCAGGGGCCCCATGAGTTTTCAGTCTGCCCCTGATTACAGCAACTAGTTTTTAGCATAGGGAAGTCATACCGTAGTAGAATTAGAAGTCCTTGTGTACAAACGTGTCCCATTGCCGTGACATACAGTAGTGCAACAAGAAGGTCAACATAAAAGCCAAGCAAGTAGCATCTGCAGAAGGACAGGAAGAATGGAAGAATAGGAAGAATGAAGAATGGAAGCCTTCATGTTTCTTTCAAGACAGGCCTAATTTAAAAATATCTTAATAGCAAACCCATATCAATGAATTGCTCCAAAGCAGTGATCAGATCAATGGCTTGTCATACGTCCAAGAAAAAAGCCATTCCTTCTCACATGTACCTTGCAAAATACTGGATGATACGGCACATATAATGAATTTAGGCAATCAGCACTCCAGCATTCAGGCTGAGGATTAGCAGTGACAAATGCTGCATTTAGCCCTATTCATCTGCTCTATCATTCATTGTTATGAAGGCACATTACTCACTAGTCATCAGTTTGTTTTTAAAGTGTCAGCAAGCTATAGAAGTCTTTTACAGCCACAGTGTGATATATTGGTTGTTTTTTTTTTTTCAGTGGCATCTGCAGAACTCCCATCTGAAATTTTGGAAGCAGGGCTGAGCTATGGAGAGCAGAGGAGAACGCCACTGTCCCATTCTGCCGCGTTTCCTTCAGTCATGGAAAACCATCTCTTCCAGCTGTAATTATCCTTTTATAATTCACAGCTAATTCTTTTTTAGGGTTGCAATCTTCTTATTTTTGGAAATCTAAATGGGGTGGGGGACCAGCTTGCTTTTTATGCCTTTGCAAACAGCAGATTGAGGTTTATAGGAGTTTATAGAAGATAGGTTAGGCTAACCCATTATGCATAATGTTAGATGAAATCTGAACAGCTTCTATGGACCAATGCTCATTTTCCTTAGCTTCACATTATATACTGTAAATTCGCCCCAGAAGCTGATGCAGCAGTCATTTTTTTTTGTATGTAGCACCCTTTGTCCCCTGAAGGTGGTTAAAGTCTCTCAGTGGTCTGGTGAGTGGACATTTCATCTAAGTGTTGGATCCTTGACTTGTAGGATATGAAGAATATGGCACCAGTCAGTCAGAAGAACCAAAGAAGAGAGGTATTAGGCTGCAGGATACACCCCCAAAACTTTGAAGACTCTGAAACACTACAATCAATACAGAAAAAGGACCTTTGAGATGGATCAGTACTCCCTTTCCTCTAACTGCAGAGCAGTAGCAGCACACAAAATCCCTGAATGAACCACCAGACTTCCTGGGATGTCCATGCTTGTACCCAGCTTCCGTGGATACTCTTCAGCAGACGAGGTCCACCCCTGGAGCTCCTATCCAAATTCCAGCTTCGCTATTCCAAAGTGTATCCTCAATCCAGGCAGTGCAAGCTTGAAGGCCCCAAACTCAAGGCTTCCTTCTTCAAGCATGTGTCTACCTCAGGAAGCAGGCCTGGGGGTGTCAGAGAACAGTTACACATATAACCTCCTCTACAAAGCTTGGATGGCAAGAGAGCTTCCAGAAAGTTGCCCCAAATATTTATATCCTTCCCTGGCATGCACCATTGACAATGAATGTCCTAGTGGTTGGCCAAGTAGATATAAATATTCATGACTCAGGCTATTGGATTCTTCCATACTAATGCCATGGACACTCCCCAACAGCAACAGAAGTAAACAATAACCTGAAAACCACAAAAAGCACTACTACCAATTTAAGCCTAAGTTGACTACAGCCCAGCAGCACTAAATTTAGAATGTTAACTTTAGTGTAAAAATTAGAATGAGGACACTCCCGCCTAGGACAGGGTCCCAACACATACACTCACTGGCCAGTAGATCAGCAGCTTTTAAAATACTCAGACCAGCCTGAGCCTGTCTGGCACCAACAACCATGCTACGTTCAAAGTCACTTAAATCCCCTTTCTTCCCCATGATAATGTTCGTTTGAACTTCAGCAAGTCGTCTTCACCTAAATGATGCCGAAATGCATTGAGTTGCTGCCATGTGATTGGCCGATTAGCAATTTGTGTTAGCAAGAAATTGAACAGGTGTACCTAATAAAGTGTCCGGTGAATGTATTTTTACCTAAAAATACAGTGCACTGTCACTAGGTACTGTCCAAGTATACCACGTCCACCCCTCTGTCCAAGTATACCACGTCCACCCCTGTCCAAGTATACCACGTCCACCCCTCTGTCCAAGTATACCACGTCCACCGCCACCGCTCTGTCCAAGTATACCACGTCCACAGCCACCCCTCTGTCCAAGTATACCACGTCCACTGCCACCCCACCGCTCTGTCCAAGTATACCACGTCCACAGCCACGTCCACCCACCCACCCCTCTGTCCAAGTATACCCGTCCACCGCCACCCCTCTGTCCAAGTATACCACGTCCACCGCCACCCCTCTGCCCAAGTTTACCACGTCCACCCCTCTGTCCAAGTATACCACGTCCACCGCCACCCCTCTGTCCAAGTATACTACGTCCACCCCCTTTGTCCAAGTATACCACGTCCACTGCCACCCCTCTGTCCAAGTGTACCACGTCCACCGCCACCCCTCTGTCCAAGTATACCACGTCCATCCCTCTGTCCAAGTATACCACGTCCACTGACACCCCTTTGTCCAAGGTTTTGCTCACCTCCTCATAAAAAGAAATTAGATTTGTTTGACAACTTCTGTCTTTCATGAATCCATGCTGTCTGTTGCTTAAACTATTTTTTTGCAGCAAGAACTCATCTATGTGGTCTTTTATTAAACTCTCCAGTATCTTCCCAACTATAGAAGTTACACTAACAGGTCTATAATTACTTGGTAAAGATTTTGATCCCTTTTTAAATATTGGCACCACATTGGCCTTACACCAATCCAGTGGTACTATGCCAGTCATTAAAGAGTCCCTAAAAATTAGAAACAATGGCTTTGAAATGACAGAGCTCAATTCTTTAAGGACCCGTAGGTGTATGCCATCCGGTCCAGGTGCTTTATTCACCTTTATTCTGTCTAAATAGTTTTGGATCATATCAATTATGAGCCAATGTGCACCATCCGGAGCTGTGTCAATATCATGTCCATACGTGAAATATGAACAAAGCATATCCCTCTATAGTGTGTACTTATCTCAATTATGAGCACCAAGTGTCATTTCTGCCTGCTGCCTCCTTCATCTGAGTCACTTCTGACAAGTTTTCCTGACACCAAGAGAAAAATGGTGACGGGGAGGGACCTTCAGCAGATTGACAGCCTCAGCTGTGTTTCTGTGAGTTGTGTGGAGGGAGCTCTCAGAGCTCTCCTCACTAAGCTCTGCATTGTGCCATTTCAGCTCTCCGCCCCCTTTTCTCTGAACTCTCAGACAAACTTTATCATTTCAGCACTTTGAATGGATATAGAGATAAATAGGTACAACTTTTTTAGGAGGATTTGTTTAGACTGTGTGTATCACCTGAGGCCAGTCACTTCACTAAGTATACGTAAGGAGTTACATAGTTAGTCTGGCTGAAAAAAGACAAAAGTCCATCCAGTTCAACCATTAAAAAAAAAAAAGTTATATTCCTATATCCACAGTTGATCCAGAGGAAGGCAAAAAAAAACAGCAAAGATAGACCCAATTTGCTCCTGCTGGGAAAAAAATTCCTTCCTGATCCCCCAAGAGGCAATCAGATATTCCCTGGATCAACTTTACCTATAAATGTTATATCCAGTTATATTCTGTGTATCCAAGAAAGAATCCAGGGCTTTTTTAAAGCAATCCACTGAGCTGGCCAGAACCATCTCTTGAGGGAGTCTATTCCACATTTTCACAGCTCTTTCTGTGAAGAAACTTTTCCGTGTTTGGAGATTAAATGTCTTTTCCTCCAGACGTAAAGAGCCTCTGTGATGATAGGTGAATAACTCTACACCGAGTTCACTATATGGACCACTAATGTATTTATACATGGAGATCATATCCCCCCTTATGTATTATACATGGTGATGATATCCCCCCTTATGTATTATACATGGAGATCATATCCCCCCTTATGTATTATACATGGCGATCATATCCCCCCTTATGTATTATACATGGTGATCATATCCCCCCTTATGTATTATACATGGAGATCATATCCCCCTTATGTATTATACATGGAGATCATATCCCCCCCTTATGTATTATACATGGAGATCATATCCCCCCTTATGTATTATACATGGAGATCATATCCCCCCTTATGTATTATACATGGCGATCATATCCCCCCTTATGTATTATACATGGTGATCATAATCCCCCCTTATGTATTATACATGGAGATCATATCCCCCCCCCCCCTTATGTATTATACATGGAGATCATATCCCTACTTATGTATTATACATGGTGATCATATCCCCCCTTATGTATTATACATGGAGATCATATCCCCCTTATGTATTATACATGGAGATCATATCCCCTTATGTATTATACATGGAGATCATATCCCCCCCTTATGTATTATACATGGAGATCATATCCCCCCTTATGTATTATACATGTGATCATATCCCCCTTATGTATTATACATGGAGATCATATCCCCCCTTATGTATTATACATGGAGATCATATCCCCCTTATGTATTATACATGGAGATCATATCCCCTCTTATGTATTATACATGGTGATCATATCCCCCCTTATGTATTATACATGGAGATCATATCCCCCCTTTATGTATTATACATGGAGATCATATCCCCCCTTAATGTATTAACAACATGGAGATCATATCCCCCCTTATGTATTATACATGGTGATCATATCCCCCCTCAGATGTATTATACATGGCGATCATATCCCCCCTTATGTATTATACATGGAGAAGATCATATCCCCCCTTATGTATTATACATGGAGATCATATCCCCCCCTTATGTATTTATACATGGAGATCATATCCCCCCCTCTGTGACCCCTTTTTTTTTTTTTTAATTTAAATATTTATTAAAAAGCTTTTTTCATATTAATACAAAAACCCAAAAGGGAAATAATTCTCATACAAGTAAACAATCATATAACACTTCTGCCTTCCCATTACTAAAAACTCTTTTCTTCCCATCCCTCTCCCCCCCCCCCCTCCTCACCCCACCCCCTCCCCTTCTCCCCCTCTGCAGACTACTAACCCTTTTCAATCTCTTGAGGGCTTATTTAATTTTTTTTTTTTTTTTCCCTTTTTTTTTCCTCTTTTTTTTTGCTAACATCCTAGTTCATGTCTTTCCTATAATTTCTCTTTCAATCCTGCTCTTTCCCACTTTTCCCATCTCCTGGAATAAACTCCCATCTTATCTTCTTGCATATGGTATGCAAAGCTTTCCATTCTAGCTATCTGGTTTACTCTATTAATCCAGTCTACCCTCCTTCGGTACCTCAGCTTTCCACCAAAACTTGGGTATCAACCCTTTCGCCGCACTCAAGAAGTACCAAATACCTGAATCTTTATATTTATTTACAGATGTCCTCCACATTGTGTAGGAGGCACGTCGTTGGGTCTAATCCTATGTCAATTTCAGTTATTTTCTTCAATTAATTTAACTATTATCTTCCAAAAAGCCTGGATTTTCGGACATTCCCACCATATGTGAAACACCGTGCCTATCTCTCTCACATCCTCTCCAACACATATTTGAGTTTTCCCCCACCATTTATCTTGTTGCTCTACACTCAGTGTAATGTGCCATCGTGTCACACACTTATAATTAACCTCAACCTCTCTCATACTAACATTATCGTGTATCAATCTAAACATCTTTCTCTGGTCTATCTTCATCAAACCCAACTCCCATATCCCTTTCCCCATTTGTCATAAAAATTAACTTTGTGTTTGTGTCTAATTCTGTGAGTATTCTATACACTTTTGAGATACCGTGCTTACCATCCCTTCGTGTCTCTAACAACCTTTCAAACATATTCCACTCCTGTTTTATTCTTAGGGGTTTCGGTAGATTTCCAATGAAACTTTTCAATTGATGGTATTTCCACTCATTATTCTATAAAAAATATCTCCCTTTCTTCTCTATTAACTCTTTAAGTGATCTCAATTCTCCCTCCACCAAAACATCTCTCAATTGGGTATCCTCCTTTCTAAACCATCTCCCTGATATCTTAATCTTTCCCGGGGGGAAGTACTCAGTATTTGTGAGAGGCATTAATATAGAATTAAATTCCCATTTCATGTTCTTGTGTAAATTATCCCATACCCTAAAAACATTCAAAGTGTAGATACTTGTGCTTTCTTTAATTCCCCTAAACTGTGGTGGAACACCATATCATCTGACTCAATCTTTTACCACTAAGATCATTTTCAATTGTTACCCAACTTTTCCCCTTATGGTTAAATGTCCAGTCATATATTCTTGCTAAAAAAACACTGACTTATAGTATCAAGTACGGCCAATACCCCTTTCTTCTTTTAGTCCCCGACTCAATGTTTCATGCTATTCATCATATTCTTTGCTTAAAACCACTGCCCTTAGTATCTCTTGACATCTGGTAGGCCCAATTTTTTCTTTTAGTCCTACCTTCAATGTTTCATATGCTATCTAGGTTTTTTATTCTTCCAAATATATCTTGTTTTAACATTTTTTTCATTATCTTAAAGAAGGTTTTTCTGGAATTTTAATTGGTTACCATTGAAATCTATACAGTATTTAGGCATAATTACCATTTTGACTAGGTTTATACGTCCTATCCAGGATGGATTTCCTCCTTCTAGTTCTTTTTAAATCTTCCCTGATCCTCATTTATCAAGGAGATATAGTTTAATCTATACAAATGCCTTAGATGAGGCAGTGAGTTTTATTCCTAGGTATTTTATCTCTTTTTTCTCTCCATATAAAGGGGAATTCTTTTTGTAGTTTTTCTTTTTTCATTCTTTGGTATATTAATATTCAGGATCTCTGATTTCGTTGGATTAAATTTTTAAATTTGATAGTTCACCATACTCCTTCAGAATCTTCATTATACAGTTGTGGCCAAAATTATTCAACCCCCACTGAAATTGAGTGTTTTGGCCAGTTTGACATTGCTTTTGATCATTCAGTCATCTTGCTTACATTTACATTAAAGAGGCACTTGTAGGTCAGACAAATATAACATAACAGTTTAATGAAATAACCACAAATGTCTTTTCTGTGCTCACAGCATTATCAGTTTTTATTCAACCCCCAAGTGACATTCAATCTTAGTACTTAGTACAGCATCCTTTTACAGTTATAACAGCTTTTAAAACGTGAAGCATAGCTTGACACAATGTCTTGCAGCGATCTAAACGGGTATCTTCGCCTTGATATTCTTCATGGGCAAAGGCCTCCAGTTCAGTCACATTCTTAGGCTTGCGCACTGCAACTGCTTTCTTTAAGTCCCACCAGAGGTTCTCAATCGGATTTAAGTTCTGGTGACTGCGATGGCCACTCCAAAATGTTCCAGCCTTTCCTCTGCAACCATGCTCTAGTGGACTTGGAGGTATGCTTGGGATCATTGTCCTGTTGAAAGGTCCAACGTCTCCCAAGCCTCAGGTGTGTGACGGACTGCATCACGTTTCCATCCAATATCTCCTGGTACTGAAGAGAATTCATGGTAAATCCTGCTTGCTTCACGCTGAAGCTTCCCTGTACCTGCAGAAGCAAAACAGCCCCAAAGCATGATTGACCCTCCACCCATGCTTCACAGTAGGCAAGGTGTTCTTTTCATCCATATAGGCCTTTGTTCTTCCTCCTCCAAACATAGCGTTGATCCATTGGCCCCAAACAGTTCTAATTTTGTTTCATCAGTCCACAGAACACTATCCCACAACTTTTGTGGTTTGTCCACATGGCTTTTGGCAATACTGCAGTCGACTCTTCTTATTCTTTGGAGACAGCAAGGGGGTACGCCTGGGAGTTTCTGGCACGGAGGCCTTCATTACGCAGTGTGCGTCTTATTGTCTGGGCTGAAAACTTCTGTACCCACATCTGACAAATCTTTTCTCAGTTC